ATGGTGCGCCCCGATGGTGGTAACACCAAAAAGCAATGGAAAGGTTCGGATATGTGTAGATCTTAAAAAGCTCAACCAGTACGTACAACGCGAAAACCACCCACTACCAATACCCGAAACAACATTTGCAAACCTTGATGGTGCTCGGCATTTCTCAATGCAGCATTGATGATGGTCTAATATATGGTATAACGCAAGAGCAGCACGACCAAAGATTGAAAAAGGTACTCCAACGACTCGGCGATGCTAACGTCACCCTCAATCCTGAAAAGTGTGTATTCAACGTCCCCAGCGTGAAATTTTTAGGTCAGATTGTCGGATCTGACGGCATAAAACCAGACCCAGAGAAAATACAAGCAATCCTGAAAATGCCACCACCAACCAACCTACATGAAGTCCGTTCCTTCCTTGGCATGGTGAATCAATTCAGCAAATTTACCACCAATCATGATCTCGCAGTCATGACAAAACCCATTCGCGAGCTGCTGGTCAAAAATACCGCATGGACATGGGGACCTCCACAACAAGAAGCCTTTGACATCAGGAACAACAGTTTATGTGAAAGATATGAACTGCACAGGAACAGTAATCAAAACATCCAACAAACCAAGATCATATTTGGTTGACACCCCTACGACAGTCATAAGAAGGAACGGAGCACAACTGCGTAGTATTCCAAACCATAGTTCAGCACGCCGACAAGAAACAAGAGAAACAGGAAAACCCACCTAATACGAATACGAACAACAGACCGAAAAGAATAAAAACACTTTCTTTAAAAGCCAGAGAGAATCTGGGACTAGAATAACTAAGTACCGTATGGCGTAAACTATAAAGACAGAACAATACAGTCGTTGAGATTATGTTGACAAATCGAAGAAAAGGGAGATGTAGTGTGATATAGCAAATAATAACTCACTAATATTACTTATTACTAATATTAACTAATGACGTCCTGATGTATATAAAGTAAGTGTATTGACATTAAAGGGTATTATTGTTCGAGACATAATTGCACACAAACCATCCTCAAAAAGGGATTCGAGAAAAATACGCGGAATCCAGGTGAGCATGTAGTTGGTTCATAATGTTGTGCCAAGCCAAAGCCCTAGAATTTTACCTAGCCAAAGAAATATCTTGCATTTTTCGGAAAATTCACGATATCTGTAAAAAGTTGTCTAATATTTGACATTCGATCCTTGTTTTTTTTGAAGATTTTTTAATGTTGCAAATATTCCTTCACCATGAGTACAGTTCCGATGATGAACGATTTAGCGTGACGTTCCAGCGTGAATGATTAATCCTATATTCTCCCACTACAAACCCTAAACAGTTTGAGGCGGTTTTACTGGAAAAAACACCAAAAATATCGAAATGTTTTGAACCCGATTGAATTAGAGTTTTATCAGTGGCTTAGCCAGCTTGACGATTTTGTCCCGCTGTGTAAATTTAGAATTATTCATTTCTTTAGAAATTTATTGCTTTCATAGTAAATGAACACCAAAATATTAGCATAGCGGAACAAATCGTCAGGCTGGCCACGCTACTGTTAGTGATGAGAATATAGTTTGATGTACTGCATGGCGGGAACAAAAAGTGCTCAGCTTGTCTTCAGCTTCTTGCTTTAATTGCGTTTGGGACGCGCTAATCGGATAAGAGGATAGGCGTATCCCATTTGATTGCTTATTGTTTTAAAATAGTGCACAAGAGCCGTTTTATGATTAGTTTTTTGTACTTCTCTCCACTCCGCGTATTTATACTAACGTACGAATCATAGCTAATTTTAAGAATTTTTTGTCACTGCACATATCATCACAATGGGATGCATGATAAAAATGGTCCAATTGGTAATTTAAAAATGAGGTAATTGCAGGGGTTCTGCAGAAATTTTTCTGTATTTTTGAGTCCCTATGACTTAATTTCCGGGTGCCGGTTGTATGGAAGCCGGATAGCGCTATCCACCGGATAATGATTTTTCAATCGCTTTCAAATCGCTCGTTGTTTGCTACAACTTTCATTAAATCTTAGTATTCCTAAAGCAAGGATCCTCTTTAATAATTCTTGGTACCAGAGATAAAATTTTATCTCTTCCGAGCATTTTTAAAACGGTTGAAAAATCACTACCCGGTAGATAGCACTATCCAGCTTTCGTACAACCAGCTCTAAACCAGCCCCATGAATCCATCTCAACAGAGTGCGGACTGTTAAGAAAACAACATTTATCACTGCATATTTCTCATTTTATCACTGCACATTCCTATATAAATCTAGGAGAACGATAATCCGCCATTTTCTGTTTTGGTGGTTTAACTGGTTTCTGCACACGAAGATTGAAACTGAACCGTAATTAGGAAATGTTGGAATAGAAAGTGAAAATTTCGAAATTTTCGAAATTTCTAATTTGTGGACATGCAACCTTTAGAGATAGTCCGAAATTTTCGAAATGATTGTCCAGAAATAACCATGTCCCTTTCATTTTTTGTTAAAATATCTGGAGTTTCCGACAAATGGAAGCGCCCTTGGCCTAGGTTATACGTCGCATTTTGGTCGTGTCGAGTGCAATTCAAACAATAGATAATGAGATGATAAACCTCATGCATTAAGCTGCATTATCCTCTCATCTATTTTGTTTGAATTGCATTGTTGACTCGACGATGTGCATTGTACAACCTGCCTAAACTGTAAACACAAATCACCACCGACAGTCGATGATGCATTGTTAGGTACCGGAATTGCGGTGTTAAAAGAAATTTTATTCAAAATAACAAAGCACAGCGAATTCCAGTGATCACCGACAACGAATAACCGTTGCTGATCAACCAGGTTATATCTCTTCTTTGACCTGTAATCAAATTTTCTTCCAAATGCATGTCAAGTAAATCCGCTTTGGTAATTTCCCACCATTGAATAGAAAATCAAGTGAAAAATTTCGTTTGTTCGAAAAAATCCGCCCTTAGATAAGACCGCACATTTTCGCATTTGAGTACTGAGGTATTTGACATGCAGTTACGCTGCTTAATTATACAGGGTGTCTAAAAAAAAACGCAACCACTTAAATATGTAAGAATATTAATATTGTTCGGGTTTGCACCATACGTAGTTCAGCTAAAATGACTTTTAGCAATTTAAATGAAGGATTAAGAGCCATTTTCAAATCCCAGAGGTGCTTATCTATTGCGCTTAAGAGCTGTATTAATAATGTTCTTGCATATTTAAGTGGTTGCGGTTTTTTTTAGACACCCTGTACAATTAGAAGGTCTTTACTGAATTGAATTGCATGCTAGAAAACTTTTTTGCAGCTTTGAGAACAAAGAGGCTCGCATTCTTTAATGCACCCTGACCCTGTACATCTCCAAAGAATTTCTCAAGTCCGTTAATTCTCAATGTAAATGAGTTCGAAACCAATCAAATTTCGCATTGAGTTGATGTTGAAAGTTGTTCCCTGTACTGTGTACACCACGTTTTCACGAAGTTAACGTGTAAAGTGTGTATGTTCATTAGCTTTACTTCATCAAGTGGTCGTTTTGTGGCGCGGTCAGCAATTGGTTTCATCGATCTTGGATATTATTACAATGGAAAGGCATTTGTTGGAGGCCAGATTCGCTGTTGGTCTATCGTATAACCGAGTAAGATGTTAGTTGTTCATGCATTAACTTTATTTAAACCCATAAACAACACAGTAAGGAGTGCAGCTAAATAGTCGAGTAATTATAACTTACTGAAACCCCGCAATAACTTTCTTATTTGTGGGTCAGCTTTTCTGGTTTATTTTCTCTTTGTTCCGCATCATTCATTTTAATAAAGTTTATAGTGCTATGGGTTCATTACTTAAATACATAGGTTGTTTTGTTTGCGGGTATAATATAGTTAGTCCGCATACGCTAATACGGCAAGACGCTAAATGTACGGTACGCCTAGTACTATAGATATTATAGGCTTATATTACACTTCCCAAGCACGGAACTAAATTGACATTTGACAACCAATTAAACGGTGGTCGTAGGTTGAGGACCTCATCCCGAGAGCCGATGTGATCAGCAGATCTCATGTCTCGTAAACCTGACAGGGCAGACAGATGTTCGAGTTGTTGCGCTCAAAGGGTAAGTTTGGAATGTGCTGCCTTGGGCCTTGACTTTTCCATGTTAACGGTAACGGTAATTGAATATCCTTGTCGATGTCCTGGCAATTACTGTCTTCAGGAAGGCTTGTATATCTGCTGTGCTCGCTCTTCCCAGATCTTCTGCTTCTGGTCTTTCCCCCTTTAGTCTGTCACCTTCACATTCCACAGCAAAGAGTTGTCAATGCATGCATGCATGGTAAACTCCAGCGACAGCTCTTCCTTTGCGCGCTGAGGTTGCAAAGGAGTTTTCTTGGCCCTCCCCTTTTTCTCTTTGTTATCAGCCAGCCGGGAGGAGGTGGCGACATCAGGGGATACAGACGATAAAACCGATGATTCACTGGAGAATTCGGAAAGAGTTGAGGATGTCGTTGATCATTCGGAGGTGCCTCAATCAATTAACAAGTGCATGAGGTACATCATCATCAGGTGACTCTACTATATCTGCAGGTACACGAACAGGTTGACCCATCAGCTTTGGTCACGTATAATGAGCGCACTTTGAACTCTTCTCGTCAAGGCGCTTATATATAAGCGCCCTGCTTCTCGTAAGCTATTAACACGTTGGCATACGCCAGCAGTAGGATGCTCATACGATACTCATAGGTGCAAAGGTAACTTTGTGCAAAATTTATTAAAAACAACTATTTTTACGGACATCTTTGTGCGTAAAAAAGAAATGAAATGATCTTCATACGCCACTCAATCACTCATACATTTCTATCATTTCTATCATATGCAACATTGTGAGAGGGCCCTTTAAGAAAGACATACACATGCACCAATATATCTTCAGAGATTGCATTTTTCTTAGCAAGAACATCTTCAGTATGAAATAATTGTAATTTTATAAAATCATTGTAATTTTATAATTGCACGTTGATATACATAGCTTGTAAGTCCTCGAATACTATTAGCTATTTAAAAAGGAGTGATCAGTTTATTATAGTATCCAAATTATTTCATTGGGGTTAAGATTTAATATCTCTTCTTTGCCACAAGCGTGAAGTCTTTAGGACGATGAAGTTGTAGACCTGTTGGTAATACATTCGGTTTCTCTGCTCCTTCAGGGAGTTCGAACTTGTAGTGATGCAATAGCGTTGAGGCAAATACGAACATCGTGACCTTCGCTAACTGTTGACCAAGACATTCTCTACGACCGAGGCCAAAAGGCATAAAGGCATGTCGTGCTGTCCAACCAACGAAATTTCCCTCTCCGTCAAGAAATCGTTCAGGTTTGAACTCATTAGGTTCGGCCCATTCTCTGATATCATGGTGGATTTGGTTGATATTTAAAACGAGTGTTGCATTCTTTGGAATTTGATAGCCAGCGACGTTTGTGTCACGAATGGTAGTCGTTCCTGTGATAGGAAGAGGACCCGACGTTCGCATAACTTCACATAAAGTAGCCTGTAGGAAGGGCATGTTCTGGGCATCTTGCCAGCATGGGAGTCGATCGTTTTTCACTACGCTATCAATCTCTTTGTGAAGTTTCGCTTGGATTTCTTGACGTAAAACAAGGTGGAGAAGGAACCAACATATTGTGGTTGCAGATGTGTCGATTCCTGCTACAACAAAATCTAACATCAAATTTGGTATGTCTTCCATTGATCCGATGTCTTTTCCAGTCTCTTTGGCGATCTCTTTCTCATAAGCTGCAATGAAGCTGTCTGTCACATCACGTGTTACACCTGGAGTATACGTCTCACGATGGGCAAAATATTCTGGTAGAAGCAATTGCCTTCTCAGTTGTTTTGCCCTCTCTATCTTACGGTTGAAATTGCTTACGTATTTAAGAAATGGTAATAAAAGGTATATAGATCTTTCTCTAGTTTGATTTACGATTATAAGTTGTAATTCGTTGAACAGATGATACATAGTCTGATCGTCGACCGATAATTTTTTAGACGTTAACCATTCCCACATTTGTAAAAATATTGTTAGTGGAATAAGTTTGTTTGGCGAGAATGATTCACATTTTTCAATCTCTTGCAAAGCGAGTTGAACAGCATGTCTGGCTCGATCTTCTGCCTGTTCTATGCCGGCTCCAAATAAGTGCAGTGAAGACTTGAAAACTTTCTTGCGGAATAAATATCCTGGCGAATAATCTGAAACGGCAACGTCTTTTTCAAATATCAATTCCAAAGGGTAGGTTGATTCAGAGGACCTGCCCGCGACGTCGTCTCTTGTGGCAAGTCTCGCCTGTCTTGCTAGCGATGCGGTATTTAGTACAACAAACGTTCCATTCGGCAAAAATGCCGTAAAGATATCTCCATATTCTTTAGACAAATTTTCGAAAGGAAATTGTTGATTGGACATAACCTGAGGTATATTACCAATCCCCGGGAGAGGAAAGGGACCAGGTGGCATTCCTCGCTTCTTTATCCAGGTATTACTAATGTACCATACAACCCAAATAAGGAATACGGACACTGCAACTTCTATAAACATGATACTCGCGATGATTACTACTTTGATCTGGAAGTTAAATGAAATTAAAAAAATCATCAAAAACAATCAAGTGAGACGTTCCTGGTGGAAATTTTTAGCATTGTAGGGACGAATATCTAATTATGCATATAATTTTATCACGTGAAGTAGAATAATCTCCAAAACGACGGAAGTTTTGGAAAGTGGAAACGTCCGGTTCAGGAGGGCAAATATGGTTGTAATGGAGGTGATGCGATCCTAATAATCGATTACTGTACCTGGTATGTTCATGTTCCATCCGTAGTTCCATGTACGTGCATATTCATACATGAACGTCATTCTATTTCAAAAACAATGCCGCGGTACTTACCAAACAATCGAGTTATAGATAGTAGAGAGCGACTAAATGGAACCATATAGATATACTATGTGGAACTAGGCTTAAATTTCCTTCGAACTTCCTTCCAAAATATATTATTTCCTAGCATTTTTCCTGCCAAAGGCCAATATTTCCTTCTCCCAGGAAATTTTCTGGCAAGTGGAAGCCCTGCCCCCGCAACCTCATTTTCTCGTAACGTATATACCACTGAGCCATTTAATTTTCCATTTATTGCGGTATTCTGGTGCCTGGTGGTTGTTGAACATTACTTGAACAACGTGAAACCTCAGGTATAATGTTGTGAGAATGTATAATCAGTTATCAGTGTATTGCAAACTAAATAAACAGTTGTCTTTGAAACGCGTTTCCCATTCAGATAATATCCTTCAATGCCAGTTTGTACCTTTAGGTGAATTAGGTCAAAATCCGTCAAATTGAAATGTGGCTTGACGGTATTTCGCTGTAAAATACTGAAATTTGCCGAAGGCGGACGTTGTTTAAACTCCTATAGGTCTATAAGTATTTATATATCTTTTCAACGACCTATTGTCCCCGTCCTTCCATGCTTAAGGTTGGTATTCATATATTCATGTTAACAGACTGGAAATTGGAAGTTAAAAGGAACTGATCGCATTGATGATATGAATACGTCCTCCTCAATTATTGTTGCTGGAACTTACCAGAGTTCGTGTCAAAATTACTGACAAAAATCCTTACGCCTGTGATTCGCTTCGTGTTGCAATGCCTCAGCTCCTGTGATGCATATTTTTATGAATTTAATCCATGCCCTTTGACACTTCAAGTGAATAGACCCTTCCGGTAATTACGTCACAACTTTATGGCTTTAAAATTTAGAACCCTTTAAACAAAATCGTCTCGCGATTCGCGAACCAAGTTCCCTTTTAGGCGGGATGATAACTATAGGCGTAAATTTTCGATAGAACGAAATCTTTTTTTGGCTAATTTTCTTTTCAAAAGTTCTCACAATTGGAAAGAATGCCAAACAAAAATCTTTTGTACATAATTTGACAAAAAGGAATTATTGGAAAATCTCTGAGCCTGAGGCTCGCATTCCCACCGTTCCAAAGAGTCAGCCAACACTTGAGCGACGCAAAAGGGATATTTTTACATCTTCTGCATGAGTTGACTTAAAAATCAAAGTGGGTATCTCAGTGTCTGTGTCAGATACTGAGACCATGTTTAGCGCCATGTTTTATTAAATACTAACTACGGAATCAGGCGAACTGCGATATTGACAAACCTAAAAAAGGTGTTTTTTTGTAATGAACATTTAATTTAATCTTCCAGATATCCTCAATTTAAATATTGATAATATATTGATACAAGAATAAGAAAAAATCCTACAGATATTAATTATATTGCTATAATTATTATAGATTGATAAATTATTCGTTAATTACTTAAGGCCCTGTTACACGGTGCACTTTTTCTTGCAACTTGCTTCTTTAGAGAGATGTAAATTTGGCAACTACGAAACCTTTATGTTTATTACACTCCACACTTACATTTTGACTCTTCACTAATTTACATGTCTTAAAAGTAGAATTGCATTGCAAGTTGCAGGAAAAATTGCATCGTGTAACACGCACGGCCTTTAGAAATCCAGGAATTCATGAATTAATTAATTACATATTGCATACAATATATTACAGATTTATTGATTATTATATTCTTAAAATACTATGAATTCAATCATGACCAGCATGAATCTATACGATGCATAGAAATATAGTCATCTAGATATTCGAACAGTAACCCCTTTAGCATACTGTACTTTGAGTTAGTTGATAGACTTTAAAAGGGCAAAGGTGCCAAAAATTTAATTGGTTCCATTGCCAGATATTGGAAAGAGCATTTGTAGTTATATCGGAAGTTCTCTTTCAGATTTGTCATCATGTATTTGTTATGAAATATTTGGCTCAAGTCGTATCACATACGAGCCTATTGCCATTTTCATTACTTTCTTAAGTACTTCATAGTTTGATGGCCTAAACTGTGGGAAAAATCCTCAAGTTTGTATTTAAAATCAAATTATAACTAAATCCATACGATTTTCTTATGATAATAGGAAGGAATAATAATAGGATATTTTCTTAAGCTGCGCGATTTATGACAGTTCTGAAAAAAAATTCCACAATGAAACGAAACAATTAAATTTTTAACTGTTACGTGGTAAAAAAATGGTCATGGTTCATAACGTAATATCCACGCTATAAACCTTCACTCATGCAGTGATTGATCAGCAAAAACAGGTCTTCGTGGCCATAGTAGCTACACAATCAAACCTATAACAGAAAAATGCACTTAATGATATGTAGCGAGATATTGAGGTTGAGGACGGTCGAAGACGACGCGAGAATTAATGGTGAATAAAAGTGGCGCGACACACCCCATTTGGTCTCATCGTGCCATTTATTCGTCATTCTCAGGTCGTTTTTGACTTTCCCCGTCCTCAATCTAAATCTGTTTAAGGGATGGGAAAGACTAACGGGTGAAGGACAAAATTCACAGAATTTTCGTAAATTATAGAATCTCCTAATCGACTTGCCTGGATTCACTATATTTATCTTTAATTGCTTGAAGACTGGTGTCTTCTGCATGAGTTATGATGTTATGCATATCCTCGATACACTGTTTCATATCACTGAGTCTGTATCCTGAATTTTCTGCCAACAATGGAAACTAGGAAAATGATGAAATAGGTTTGTCAAAACTAAAAACATCCATGCACCACCTTGGTATAGAGCGAATTTTTCTTATACGCATTCTTTTTCTTATCGCTACACTAAAGGGACGGAGCTTCAGTAAAAAATATTTGCCTTGAATACCGTCTCTTGCACTGAAGACGTGAAGCCCTCCATGTTTAGAGTTTGGGTTTATTGTTGAGTATCAAGAGTATTAGGTCAAGAGTCGAGAATGGGGGGAGATTTTGCGCTACTTTACATGTGCATGCTTTCCATGCATGTTTTGCAAGTGCAGGTTTAACGTGCATGTTTACCAACTTTAACTTTTTATATGGTAGTGAATATCTGGCACTAAAGATGGCTCATTTAGAGCCGAGGAATGTATAGGTGTAGTAAAACTTTAATTCTATATAGTAAAAGCGCAGGGTGACGGCACAAAGACTATGCATGCAGTGGAACCCCGTAAGTCAGAATCTTTTAAGTTTGCGTCTACACGCATATATATATATATATATATATATTAATATATATATATATATATATATATATATATATATATATATATAGCTTTCTGTTCAGTAAACACCAGTAATGTAAAACATGCTGAAATGACCTGTCCGTCATTACTCTGATGAGTTGTGGTGGACAAGCTTCCATTAACTTGGTTAATTTGCTAAACTACGATACATAGGGGTACATAACGAGAGGATTTCCGAATATTCATATCGTTGTTTATTAATGAGGGGAGATATCATATCATGCTATTATAATTTTTTGCAGCAAACCAAAACTTAAGTTAAGAGCAATGACGTTGGTCTAAATGTAAAGTGGTTAAATGGAAAGGATAAGTTGGTGTGAAAATATTGCACCAACAGTAATAGAGAGGTATGTTTTGCAGCGAGAGAGACGAAAGGAAGATGAGCTTTCGAACTTTTTGATCGCTTAGTTGCAATAAGCACTAAATAAAACCAAGGACCTTTTGTGTTTTAAAACCGATATTATTAATCATTCACACTCCGGTTCTTTTTCATCATTTGTAATCACTTTATATGCTAAAAATTGCAATACCGGCCTTCTTCTTTCGAATCTCCATGCAGTTGAAAACGCCATACATATATAGTCATTTTTATTCTTCGATATCTCAAATTTTGATAAATTTTGTATAGTTCTTACCGATGGAATGCAGTCCAACGTACTTAGGGCAAGAGCAACAGACGAGGCAGCTATGAGAGATGGAAGGTATGTCCATTGTTGATCTGCATCTTGCAACACAACCTCGCAGTAATACTAAATTAGAACAACGAAGCAAAGATTGAGGCGTGATTTACATATAATCATCGTTTCGGACGGGGTTGGAAAAGTCTTTGAGAAGACGTTTTCAAAACTGTATGAAACTATTGCTCTTGATATCAGTATTTTTTTAATAATTCATTTAACGTATTCTAAGGAGCCAGAGAACTGGCTCTATTTTAATTTTAAAATTTGTACTATTAAACGACAGTGCACGTGCATGAGTTGCGTATTGCTTGAGATGATAAAGACTTTAGTCATTTTATTGGGCAACAAGAGATGTTAAAAGATCTCAAAAATATAGGATGGCCAGGCATGGTTTTGCTTAGGATTAATTACTTTTAAAAGTTTAATAGTTTTAGGCCAACTCACCTTTGTCAGATGAGATAATTTTTCCGATAATCTCTGTGGGAGCATGACACTCTTTTCGTATCTTTCTAAGAACGATAGTGCTGTAGGAACAGCCAAGTCAAAGACGAGTGATTTCAATATGACATGTTCCATTTGTCTCACCTAATGATGATTGAAAATATGTTCAAAAATAATAGCGAAATACAGTAGAATTGACTCCATGGCATCTGTGTTGACGCACCTCATCACCGGTATAGGTAGAATTGGTGATGAAAACAAACTCAGATATCTCAGGAGGATAAATTTCTTCAAGTTTTGAGGCAATGAGCATACACGAGACACCAACAAGTTGTAGCTTGCTCGGATCTATGATTACGTTTGATGACAGGAAACGATCAATATAGTTAACGGTCAGAAACAATGTCTCTGGTACGAGATGATACTCCTCGGCCACTTCAACCAACCAATCTACCAAAATTGCCCTCATACTCTTGTTAATTAATGGTTGTCCACTCATGAAGTTGGGCTTTGGACGATGCCTTCTCTAAAAATACACATGGGACATTATTAGAGCTTATTCCAAGTTAACAGTCTTTATCAGCTGTTTATGCAGTTGATGCAATAATTAGATAGATATCTAAAATCAAAAGGATCGAGACTTAACTCTTGAGGTTAAAACCTAGCCAAGATTTTTAGGATGCATAAATGTTGTGTAGTTAATGCTTACTGTCTACATATTTTTTTGTACTGTCTAAGTCTTTTTATTTCTGTTAGTGTACGCGATGAAATTTGTCCACAATAAGGTTAGGACAATGGATAATACTGTGCATGTGCACACAAGGACAAGCTTGTATTGTATTGTTCCAATATAACCAGGCAGCGGCGTGGCAGCGTCTTCAAACGACTTAGCATCAAATGTGGTATAACAACTGTCTAAAATAGACAAAACACTTCTCGACGTTTCGACCTGAGGGCCTTCGTCAGGAGAGTTAGTATGACTCTCCTGACGAAGGCCCTCAGGTCGAAACGTCGAGAAGTGTTTTGTCTATTTTAGGTAGTTGTTATACCACATTTGATGCTAAGTCGTATTGTATATTGGATAGACCATTGAATTATTTACCTCACTCTCCCTTAGATATTCATGTATCTCTGATTCATATTCAACCAAGTTGACATCGTTAGAACTATCACAGCGCTTGTTGATTATAACTGGCATAGAATGATCAGAACCTCCAATATTCTCTTTAACATCTCTTTCTATACATACATTTTTTTCAAAAGTTTGAATCTATGGATTTTATACCAGAAAGTTGGGGAAATTTCCAAGCCTGGTACCGGTATATATCTGACAGGATCTGACAATCCAAGGGTTTTTCAAAAACCTCATAGTCTTTTCAGGTGCCTAGCTAAAATAACTAACTAAAATTACTAAAGTATATCAAGAAATATTAAGTTGGATTTTTGTTTGAAAGCTAGTCCCAGACTCTCAGTCGATGCACAACGCCTAAACAAACTTATAACAACTATAAATGCGTCTATACTAATCACAATTCTCATAAATATGCATGACATATAAAATAAATAACGCTGCAAAGCATATATTTATAAGTACCTTGTGTATCAGTGCTTGTTGTCTGAACTATCATATCAACGGACGGCCACGGAACATTTTCTTGGTCGACATACACAGCAAACGTTTGAGCTGATGTACCTTGGCATATTTTTGTACGTGACTGTTTGCCCATGAAAGTGTCACTGTCTTCACATTTCTCCTTCAAACTAGTTGCTAACTACAAAAATCCCCAGAAAATATCGCTAGTTTTCAGTTGACAAAAATCGTTAAGCTCTCATGGAAATTTAAAAACTATAACCTAGTAATTAACCTTATAAAAAAGTAAAAACAGAGCTAAAAACCTTGTTTCGAGTGGGAAGGGGAAGACAGGAATTTGACAAGTTTCCCAATGGCACACGTTCTTTTCTCTGATGGCTTTTGGTCTTTCCAACAGGGCCTAATTTTTTGACTGGTTCTGGTAAACTTTGGTGGCTTCCATTTTTCGTCCGGCGAAAATCGTTTGTAGTAGGGTTTCTTGAGTTCTCCATTTCAGTGAAGTTTTTTTTCATAAAGAATTACTAAAATTTGCTGTGATTAATGCAAAATATGTAACAAATCTCCAAGAAAATATGCATTTTCATCGCCATTTTTCGTCACTATCACGAGTCATGATCACGAAAAATTTTTTCTTCGTCGTCAGTGTTTTTCAAATTACGTCATGAGCTGCGCACTGAACTATATATTATCTGGAGAATTCAATTATTTTAAACTTTCCTGGTAACATATATACCTGCTACAGACCAGTGATACAGACACACTGAGAAAGGACATGTATAGATGTTCAATAGCAGGGAACTCACTACACTTTTCGCTAATTACATCAGCTCTTTACATGCAATATGATATGACATCACAAACAATGGACCTTTTCGGTAATTACGTCACAACATTATCGCTTTAAATTTTAAATCACCTTAAATGAGATAGATATCAAGTTTAACTCTCACAAGCTTTCTGGAAAGATGCAAAACATCCTTCTTCAACACATGCATCAAACAGAATTTTTCATTTTGACAAATAAGTATGGAAATACGACATAACGCGAGAACAATGCTCGCGGTCTTGACCCCTGAGCCTTGTTCTCGTGTTATGGCTTATTTCCACATTTATTGGTCAAAATAAAAAAAATCTTTCTCATGCATGTGTTGAAGAAGGATGTTTTGCATCTTTGCACGTGACTCGTGAGAGTAAAGCTTGAAATCCATTTAATTTAAGGTGGTTCTAAATTTAAAACGTTGTGACGTTAAAATCTTGTAACATAATTACCGAAAAAGTCTATTTTAGCTCATATTAACGAAACAACACGAATTTATTAGTATACCAGTTTTCTTTCAGTAGCAACGCGTTTAAGCCTAGAATTAATTACCCAATTGATGAATGCAAAAACGTTTTAAAAATAATTTTCCTAATCCGACAGTCCCTCGAACATCACGGAAGTTGTCATGGCGTAAATACTTCATGTTTCGTCTGCGAGAAAATCTGTTGAGCATAAGTGTGTTTCTAAAATAACGCAGAATTATGAGGTGTTCTCTCCATTTCCTTTTACGGTGTAAATCATGGAAGGTACAGGACTCTAGTGTATATATTTTAGATTCATGACAGGGATTAATGTATTATAGGTGTCTACTTTGGTGCGTTAAAAAACGCAGCCATTCTTTTGGCGGATTTTTGCTATTGCTGGATGATGAATGGCGAATTTTATTTATGATGTCCTGTTGACGTAAGGCACTTTAATTCGAAAGTTGTTGGTGAAAGTTAACTCGGTCTGTTTCGTCAATACAAACGCAAACCATATATGAATATTTTACTCAGTCGAAAGACGTGTTTTTATAACCATGGCAACAACAATTCCAAGGGATACCACATTGTCTACGCATAATATTCATATATATTTGATAAGAGGAAGACGACAGTTTAAAAAAAAATGTCTCGAACAACTGATAAACGAGATTTAATCGAATTTGCATACACTGCGGCAGCAGTCTTGCTTGGTTATTTGAATTAAAGCTGTCCTAGGTGAGCGTATCTCTAACTCAGTGAGCATATGATTTTCGAACCTTATCGGCACTAGATGCTAAGATGAACTATTACTTCAGTTCAGACTGTTTGTGGTTCATATAGAATAATGAGTCATAGAAAAATTTCATGCACCTTAAATGCTTTTGAAGGAAAATAACCGTGCTTTGGGCTTGGTCGAGAATAATCTGAATGAGACTTTCAAGCTCGGATAAGACAATGATGAACAATTGAAACCAGCCGCTTGCACTGTACATTTAAGTTCACACCTTACATTTCTTGGAACTTATATTTCAGTAAAATACACACATAAAATAGCCTTATAAAAATAGTGCATTCCTTCGAAGATATATACGTTAGGGATGCCATACTCCATAGTCCCTAGAAATCAAACTTATATTCTCTATCATACACGAAAAACGTCAACTGAACACTTTTAACTGTCATTACTTTTAGTATCAGATGGGAACTTTGTTAAAGAAAACAAACAATTTATACTCTTATCTCTTTGATTTTGGAAAAAAATGTGATTTTAAACAGTTTCTGTACACACCTCTCAAATGTTTTCCTTAAAACAACATTGACAAATTGTATAGTGCTATGGAATGTACTGCTTTGCAAATAATTAGGCTGTATTTGTATCAAGTTAATATACGGCTCCAATGTGTCTCTAATTCGTGGTCTGTTTATCGCTAGATACTTTAAAAGGTCAACAATTATTTAAGGAATGCCTAAGATATGCAGCAACTGCCATTCTTGCACACATCTGTTTTTGTTAGCTTACAGCCAATGATTGGCTTGTATTCTTCAAATTCAATTGTTTAAATAAGCCAAGTTCAAATTTTCGCAATTTGTATCCTTGAGAGTCGGCATACGTAGTTCAAAAGAAAGTGTTTAACCGGGGTTAAACGCTGCCCTCTGACGCGTTGACCCGCAAAATGTTACACATATGATATGCTCTTAATTAACAGGAACATCTGTTTCTTACTAACTGACCACTCCCCAGTTCAGCACCCGACTTTGTGTCAATGTCGGCGTGCGCAGACAATCAGTCCCGAAGACACCAAGAACATCCTATCTCGCAAACTCAATTTGTATTATTTTTTTAAATTATATTAGATCAATACCCTAACATAGTCCGAAATAGTTTAAATAAATTGTACGCGTAACGTGCATTTTTCTTTAGATATTGACTATTAACTGATTTCTCATATCTTTTCTCGCGTGAATTGCACATAACGTAGGTAACATGTTATCCGAATGTAATCCGCTGTCAACCTATATCTGCGAGACATGGTAAGATTCATAAGAAAAGCTTTGTTAAAAGGTTAAGGTTAGCTGACCCCGAGTCTATAAAACGTGGAGGCGAAACTTAACGAAGAATCAATTCTGCTTGAATTCTGTTGATAGTATGTTTATAGAAAGTACCATCACACGCTATGCGAATTTGCTCCGTGTGAATATAAAGCAACAATATTTGATTGGAAACGAGACGGGCTTGTTGCCAGGGCTAGAAGCCTAGGATATTATAAATGGTTTCGTACAGCTCTCAAGTTTTTGTATGTATTTGCGGGTAGCATGCAACTCCCGGACCCAGGTTTCTTCCAAAGCTAGCTCTCTTATTTTGCAAATACTCTGGGTTTAAGGTTGACTTGGGCCCTCGACTTTCGTGCTTTCGAAGTACTCACTACAAGTGTCGGCTAATTTTTATCCTCTTAAAACCAGAGCTATCTAAGTATCCTCCTACGTATGTTCGCCTTAGATGGGCTGGCACCAGTTGACGCTTGAGAAGCGGAGGAGGCGGCTAAAATTAACTATCTTACCTACCGCACTTTGGCTATTAATCACACGTTACATGTGACTTGTTTCAAAAAAAATGTGGAAACTCTGTCATGTTTTTGTCATCACACTGCAAAACTCATTGTTTCCACTTTGCAAAACTGATATTCCTTTTGACAAACTCGAGTTTTCCAAAACAAAAATCTTGTTTCTAATACCTATTTAATTTGTGATTGGCAGAGTATGATGACAAATTTGAATATGGGAAAGATATTACGTACAGCACATATCTGGGCATCAAGAAAAATAGACACACATACCGTAAACCTCCAACTATAAGCCCCCCCAAATATAAGCCCTCCCATCTATAAGCCCATCACATTATTAACAATCACGTCATTCCAAATATAAGCCCCCCCGAATATAAGCCCATTATACAGGTCGGGATACAGGTATATATTAAATACTCTTGCACTAAAACAATTCCCTATAGCAGTAACTAAGCAAAAACATTCAAGCAGTGTTAATTTTACAAAACATGTTCGTCCTGGTGATGTTTCAAAGCGGCACGGACGAATCTTTTGTGCAGCTTAACATGTTAACATTTGTTTATCTGTAATTCTTGTTTATTTTCGTGTTTATACCTTAACAATAAATACGGCACTTGGTTTATATAAACCCGAAATGTTGTCCATGTATAAGCTCCCCCGCATATAAGCCCTCCCGTGTATAAGCCCATCAAAAAACGCTTACGAACTTATATAAGCCCAGGGCTTATAGTCGGAGGTTTACGGTAGTAGGCAGCTAGCTTTTTGTTGCTTGCTATTTATGTTAACTATGTTAAATTTGATTGTATACAGTTTTCAACATGCCAAGTCCAAACTTCATACTGATTCGGTTTTTGGAATATTGTCAATAAAATGCGAATATAATTTTTTTCGAGGATTCTTTGGATTTTCCTTGCCCCTGCTGCCTCGGCGCTTCCGACGCCCCTGCGTTGTTTGCGCAAACACACATGTCATAATAGGTCCGACAAGGAACTGCTGATGTGACGGATTAAACATCCTGCATCGTGCATAATTTGCGTAAGAGAAGAGCATCGGATGCCGCAAACCTCTGAGAGCAAACTTAACATCCTGTATTTCTACTCAATTTTTAGTACATATATGGCTAGAATTGAGAATGCTAGAAGAAAAGACAAAACTTTGTATTATAAAATTTTCAATGAAGATAGCTTAAAGTTACGTCGAAACATGTTTTCAAAAAAATTGCCTAATAGCTCTTGTGCTGATCAGATCATGTATGGTGAAGTAGAATTGAAAGTTTTTAAAATGGCATGTTTGAGAGCGAGTATAAGTGCTTAAGAGGTTGTTTACATGATTAGAGCCTGGTAAGACTGACCTTCTAGAAAACTCTTTAATATGGATTTATAATAGCACGCAAGAGGCACGCAAGGCCTCCATGGAGGGCTCATGATATGTTGTAAACAGTTCCTATAGTCCCTAGTGTTCATGACTTTATGTCAACGTGCAAGGCGCATGTAAATATTTAAAGTTGAACAAAGTTGTTTAACATAAATAAATAATACAGTCCAAAGTTGTGAAGTTGATAGCATGGTTCCAGCAATAGCATGATTTGGATCGAACTGAAGTTTCCCCGACATTTAACGCCGGTGAGAAAATTTTGAAAAATGTGTAACCGCCACATTGGCGGCAGCTCAGAAATGTCAGCGGCATGTCTTCTCCACCTCAGATACCCACCCTAAATTACGTCACCACGTCACAGACTCTATTTTTTAACTTAGGACCACCCCAAATATTTCACGTTCTTTTCTCTCAGGCTATATATGTTTTGGCTATATCTAAATAGGCAAAGTGTCCATGCGTGCATGCGTGAATTAGACGTTTTCATTTTCACCAATGAATTTAAAAAAAAATTAGCCATAACACGTAAACAAAGTTCAAGCACCGAAAACTTGAGTCTATTTTTCATGTTAAAGCAGGAATTAGCAACAACAATATCAGTGCCTCTCTATACACAGCAGTGGACTCAAAATAAGACTGGAACGCTAGCTCTCTGACTTTCCATCATTAATGAGTGAAGCCAAATGAAGCCTTTCTTGTAGGTATGATCCAGGCCTCTGGCGCGGAAATTTCAAAGGTAAAATCATAATTGCCGCAATTGCCGCCATTTTACCTACGAAATTTCCGCGTCGGGGCCTGAATCATACCTACAAGAAAAGCTTCATATTCCGCCATCTTGGCTTCAAATTTTTCGCAGAGCTGGCGTTCCAGTCTTATCTGAGTTCACTGATCCACTGATCTTCGCCATTTTCCACTAGCGAATTTGCCGTTTGGATGTCAAAAAGAGTTACCTGTAATGAAGGCTAAGATCGGCGATGCTATTGCATTCCGCAAATTCTTCGACGCTCAAGTCAGCAGTTCAGGAAATATGCCCGTTTTTAGCAGTTTGTAACATATGGAAATAATTTATTGCACCCCAATGAAGCCAAACATGCAATCTATCAACATGAGCCACCCACTAGAGCGCGCAATATAAAGTACAAATCTGGACAAGGTGACTTCTGGATATTTAACACGTTTGTTCAATTAAAAACAAAATTAGATTTGAGGAAACATCCTGATTTAGTTTATGCAGTTTATGAAAGCCTTATGTTTCAATTAAAGACAATTATGCCCTAAAAACTTAATCCATATTTCTGCTATAGGGCAGATATCTTTATATGTATGTATGTATAGCTATGTCTGTTGCTTTATGTATTTTTGTAAATCAAAAAAGAAAATTTTCTCACTGAATTGTACACGCGGTTCAACAAACGTCTAAGTACCATAAAATTACTGGGTCATTCCGACTCATTTCTCCTTTGATAAACATAATGTAATTGCCACTTCTTTAAAAGGTTTATATGGTGCCGGGTATTGTGAAATTCAAAACTCTTTGTTCCAAAGACTCGTCTACTTTTCTCTACAGTATTGCCTAGAATGAAGTTTGCTAATACCAATAATTAGACGTTTGGATGGCACGATTTCATATGTTTGCACCTAAAACAGTGTTGTTTGTGTTACAATCGATGAATCCGGCATCCGCGTTTCCTAAAGCGAATGACTGAAAACCACAATGCTTCGTGGGGGCTCCTATATTGGCCAGCATTAATTGCAGTGCAGTTTTGAGATTTTTTTTAATTTAATAGTCAGTTGCCTCCATTTACTTCTTTTGTGTATCATGCGCAATACGTTTTGTTCCATTTAAGCAAAATTTCTAATAACATAATATATAACGACGGTTTTAATCCTTGCTATTAAACTTCTTCAACAGCGACAACATTATATTTCCCTATACCAGATAGAATATGTGATCAGTGATTATGAATTTGCACTCTTCTTTCTTTCAGGACGAGCCGAACTCCGATTTTTTCAGAGAAACTTCGTGGTGTGCACGATCAAAGACCCTAAATAAAGTGTGAAAACTGAATTAATGTTGCCCGATCGAACCGATAAAAGTGCTCATGCGGTTTGTATATCATGTAGTTTCGCCAATATAAGGGCCTCATTATTCATGTATTTTCAACTCGGGTAGCTAAAATCGAGCTGAAATTCCAGCCAGGGCTGAAACTTAGCCCGCGGACTGAAATTCTTTTATTGTTAGGATTTTATAACAAGCCCGGGCTGACGTTTCATCCAGACCAACCGGACTGAACTAACTTAGCCCAGACTGAAATTACGCCATGTAATCAGCCCCTACTAAGTAAAAGACAGGCTCAAACCCGTCCAAAGATCCCATAGTCAAAACTATATTTGCACCAACACTTCGCGGCTAATTGATGTATAATTTATGTTTTGCTTCAGCCTTTTAATTCTATTCTTTTATCTTTATGATAAAAAACTGATATACAGTGTAAGTCTGAAAGCCTGTGAAACATAGATGACGTATGTGAGTCAATGTTTCAAGATTCTAATCAACCAAAAATTATACATCAATTTTAAAACAATAATGGATATCCTGAACCCTAGACAAAACATGAAGTTGGTAATCAAACGTGGAGTCTGCTACGGGACTAACGGGAGTGGGTGACATCGTATAAACTGTCGCGAAAAACTTGCTGTTTTAATATGTTTTCACCGCATGAATTTAAACAGTTCGATGATTGATTAGCAATACATCAACCGCGACACTGAAATAATTAGTTCTCGCGCGAACGCAAGGGGAGGCATTGCGTATAGGTTTTGAACACGACAAGACGCTTTTTCCTCACTTTGTACAACAACATGATAACTCATTATAAAGTAATTACTTTCTAGTTCGCATGTTAGTGCAGAAAAATATTTCGTTCTAATTACGCTAATTGCTTCTTCCTAAAGATTTCCCTTCGAATGCGAGTATTAAATTAAGCAAAGAGGAAGGGCAGTGCCTGTGCAGCATTCTTATGGATAATTACTTGCTTCACATGTTCCAGAAATGGCGATTATAGAACATGTTTAGTAACACACGAGGTATTCCCAAATGATACAGAATATATTGTCGCTTTTACTGATAAGTATAATGAGTAATAAAATTGAACCGCGATATTCTATTGTATGGGTAGATATGGATAATGCCTGTATGAGATAATACTAAATCATTTTTATGACCGCTATTCAACGCATAATCCTTTGAAATTCGGATGAATAATAGCAATTACGAGGACGTACGTATTAAATGAATTTGGCAAAACTTTATAAATGGATGTCTAAAAGTGTTTCTCCGTTGCCATAAATTTATTCAATGTCACTTTAAACAAAGCTTGTCTTGTTTTTGCTTTGCTGTTGGGGACAAATAACTCTGCTCATTAGATGTGCAAACGCACCTGTTTATAAAATATGAATTAGCGGCACAACCGCAAATCGCGTTATCATTATTGCTAACCAGCTGTGCCGTATGACAAACCAAACTCGCTATCGAGAACCAACAGTGAAAATCACAATCTATGTCCATTCTTTCGCTAACAATATACAGTAAGGAGTTGGGTGACATGGGGTATAACCATGCACTGTTAAGACTACATCGATCTATAACGAAAATCCCAATCTGACATCGCCAAGCTGTTCATTGTCTATCGCGTGAATATTTAATGTGCTTTGAGGGTGTGGTCGTGAACCATGGGACAAACGGCGTTATTAAATTGTGCGAGATTTCCACTATGCATTAGTCTCTTTAACAAATATTGACTAATCGTGCTATTAATTATAAATAAATCTGTTTACACAGCTCGTTCATGTTAATAGCTGATACCCGTTTTAAGGGGACCGTTTTTGACAATATTATATGAAAACATTCCTTTCGATATGTCTTACCACTCGTAGTGGCCAAAAATATTTTTTCCCGAGTGTTGAGAGAATTCTGAAAATTGAAATAAATTGAAGATCTCATTGGAAAACAGTGGAACTGGAGACAAGTTGAATGGAGAAAGAAAGTTGAGGTAGGAAATTTTGCGATTATCACAAGCACATCTAACAACGTACACCATGTATGAATACTTCATTGCCGTTTTTTGTGTACGAAATATGTGTTATAGAGAGAAGTGAATTGTTCGTATTATCAACGAGTGCATGCAATCAAGCGTGATTTAGCGACAAGGATCTAGATAGCATCAAATGTAGCGTATTTCATAGAGTTGTTCAGCAAACGATCAAGACTGATAAGACACCTTGAGCAGGGTATATGTGTGACCTTTCAGACTATTATTGCATGTATCAAAGAAAACTTATCTGATCGACAAGATTCTTTCGTACTCTAAAGATCAGATCAAATATCTTGCACGCGCAATCCCAACATTCACGCAAGAGTGTATCGATATCTATGTTATCAGTATAATTAACTTAAGCTGTTTCACTCGGTTCCAAGGCACAGCACATCAATGCAAAACGCCGATCTAGAATATCAGTTGTATCCATGACGAATCATTAACGCTTTAAAAACTTTTTTGTTTATGTGGAGTCTTTAGCAATATGCCAGTCGACATTCGACAAGCTGATAACAAATCAAGATGGAAGCTAGAAAATAAGTGTATAGCGCTTCTCTTAAAGTATATAAGCGTTTTCCGCATGCATGTTTATATAAAAGTATTGCTTACCAAATTTTTTTGCCTATCTATAAGGTATTCAGCACTCTCTAGTATCTGTAGAAACAAACTTGCAACTTAAATAACAGTGCAATATGTCGGAATTGTGCAAGATTTCGTGCATTTAATAAACAAACAAAATGTAGGTTAAATTGTTATATAATTTTGAAAAACAGACAATCGTTAATAAAACGGTGATGACAGGATCGCCTTCCTTTCCGACAAAAACGATCAGATCGATTCAGTTGAACAAAACAGAAAGATGTCGGCATGTACGTTAACCACAATGCAATGCGAACATTAAGCTTTAATGACGGAAAAGGATGAGAAGAAAAACGCCTAATGGTGTGAAATTTTGACCCGATAGATAATTGCTTTTTTAATTTTCCTTTCACAAAATATTTTGCTTTTTAAACGCGCTTCGACAGCAGTGTATTCTAGTGAAGTTGTACACCAACGTAGATCTCTCTGTCTCGTTCCAACGTCAGTGCTAAAATTTTAAATGTACGTATATCACGAAAGGCCGATATGTTATTAATATGCCGCTTTCCTGAACTGAATATTTCAATTTTACTTTTAGAATATAGCTATGACCATGGTTTGACCATTTCAAACTGATTAAACTATATATACATGCCTCGATTGGTCTCTTTCAGTCTAGCTTCTTACACATTTCGCGCCTGATGAAGTAGAGCACCGTTAAACAGATTCACGGGATAACATGCATGCGTGTCTCAAACGAGATTTGAAGTGCAGAAAAGTAGAAAATTATAGTTTTTCTTTTATATTTTTTTAAACACTTGTAGACGGCATGTCATGACATTGCATACTATCTCTGTAAGTAGCTATACAATCTTGTTTCACTGCTGTTCTTTCCTTATAGCAATTTTAGTTACGACTGAGACTGGAATTTGAACACGTTATCATGCTTCAGGGTTATCTGCAGGTGTTGTATTATTGCAAGATCACAGATTTCTGCCCAGTCTTCATCACCTACATTTATTATATCAACCGAAATCTGAGTGTTAATAGAGGCATGACAGCTATAATAAAACTTGGCCTTGACTGCGGAAATAAGACATAAACGGCGTTTACGGGCATATATATATACTGCATGTCGGGCTATCTTAGCCGATAGATTTCAATATGAGTATATATTGCACGTCGCGTTCTGGGTGGCAACTAGCAAGATGTTTCTGCATCTATTGTATAGCGAGTTGCACTTATGGTTGCGCCGATCAATCCAAGACAGCTAGCGGCCAATCAAAGCAGTGATAATCATGAAATTTACATATTTCCTCGACATCCATACAGCTCTGCAAACGTTCATGAGTAAATTTGTAAAAACATTTCCATCTGTTGTATATACACTTGTATACATCCATTGTTCCTTGTTTAATGATGGAGGTTAGTTAGGCCTCGGGATATATAGCCTTGTATAATCAAGCGAGAAGTTATCATTACTCTTATTGCTAATATCCCTGCTTTACTCGTCTCGTTTAATCTTATCGTGCATATGTCCTCTTTTTATACACATAATATAGGAAGTAGATATATATTCTATAAAGCATGAAAGAAAAAATACTATTGAAAGCTTCTCAGTTTGGTAGGCGGATTCCCATTTTTAACAAGTTGTAGGAAGAAATTGATGAAATAATTATAAGTTAAAGCGGATAAAAATTGAAGCATCAGAGTGCGTCGGAAAACTTCGGTAGTGTTTTTTGTTCCCCACGTGACTCCGAGGCAAAGATCAAAATACTGAAACGCAGATCACACCACGCTTTTTTTACAAAGTTTAGAATTTCACATGGTTGCGAAAACGAAAGCCTTGTCAAATGGCAGTACAGCTGTTTTTCATTTGGCGGAATGACGCGAATTTGTTTTACCTGGCCTTAACCTAAATTTAACCTGCTTGGCATGCAAGCAAATTAAAGCAATACAAACTACAAGGCAACATGTATTTAAGGACTATATAAGGGTGTATTAAAAGCGTATTGAAAAAACTTGAGTTTGTCATCCTAAAACTGTTGTGTCATTCATCAAGGATTAAATAACCCGTTTTCTCCAAATATTTTTCTTGGTGTGATGGCGAGACGTTCTTGCGCATGCTCGTTGACTTTGCGCACGCGATGATAAAACTAAATTAGTACGAAGTTAATTAAACGATAAGAAAAATTCCAAGTATGACGTGTCGTTTTAACTCACTTTTCACGACCAGGCATTTTTCATGATTTAAATCAATGCATTGTAAGGTTTACGCTGCTCGCCATAGAGGAGCCTATAATGCAGCAGAATTCCTTCTGGTTCCTATTTAAACTTCGGAAATCAGACCGCCTGATTTTTGCAATTAAATAGAATGGGATCTGGAATGAGGTTTGTCAGGTGGTTCCGCCCTAAAGTCAAAGGCCACCCAAAACGTTTATCAGCTCACTTTCAAAACACAAAGATTAGGAAAGAGGTGAGAAACCGTTTAACAAATGCTAGAAAATTTGTTCGCCATAACAAAGTCAGCAATAAAGAATTTTTGTAAATGTGGAATTGTGCATGATTAGAGATCAATGAACTACACGCATTATTTGGGCAGATGATAGTAGCAGTCAGCTGCTAGCACTTGACAAAATCTATGACAATATGCTGGTTTTAGATAGCAAAACGCGTCTAGTAGAAATTTGTATCACAATTAGGTGAAGCCGAAGTAGAGACAACGTGAATAGCAGGCAGTCTACAAAATACAGCGAAAAACGTTGTAAATTTGTTTTAATGCATACTCTATTTTCAGTATTCTCTAGCACTACAAAAGATCAAATTTATACAGAGGGCGAGAAGGCGCCTAGCTGTCGCCACTGTTGAAAAATGTATAAACAATGTAACATTAGAGTTGACAGTAGTGGCTGTATACCCGGATCATATACAAACATATTGGGGTGCTGAGAGAATTGTAGAGTGGCACGAGACATTCAATATCGCTGTAGGTAAGCAATATGTTGAAAAAACTAACACGATAGGTAAAGATTTCGCGATTGCGGGGTGCTGCTTCATTGCTTTTGTGTTAATTAGTCCAGATTTGCTAATTTTAAAAGAGTGTCTTGTTTTGTCGGTCACTACGGAAAATCCGTGTTTAAGTGTAAACTAAGATTATATCACTTCAATGCCACTTTTAAAGGTGTTAGGTTCGATTATAAAGCTCTTCTAATCTTCGGAATATGTCGCGAACTTTGCACGGATATGTCGATTAACCACGTGGAGTACGAATTAAAACCACAAGCTAAAACGTTCCCATTTATTTGACTTTTATTGCAGACACATCTTTAATTTGTTTGCCTTGGCCTAATCAGATAGCAGAATACTTGCTAATAATTTATTATGAAACCAAGCACATGATTACAGTCGCAATGTTGTATATATACTGACATGTTTCATTACGACTCGGCTCATATGAAGCATATCAAGAGATATATAGCTACTCTCATTATTTAGTATAACCGCGTGATAAAGGTTTCTTTGCTTTGCGTTTATCAGATAATCGTAGGCAAAGAATATAAGAAGATAAAGTATAATTCACTAATTTTGCCCTGTAGCACGACGATCGTATTCTTAAAACTGACCACGCGCACTAAGTGAATCCGGTATCTCGTGTTGTTGGATTAAAACCACTCCATGAAGGAGCTTGATCCTGAATAATTTAACTTAAAACTGAGGTATATATGATTGAGGAAAGCGCTCTACCGACGCAGGTATAGCTAGGTTTACTGGGTCGTACTTCGTGAATGTAAGTGAGCTTCTTCTGCAGACGTTAATATTCTTGCACAATGGCCAATAATGTTAAGAAATTTATTAGCGTAGAAATAATTATATTTGTAAAAGAAAGCTAAGTACCTCGAGATCGGGTATACAAATATACTGATATACTCAATATTTTACCTTCGCTTCGAAATAGATCGATGGTGATATCAGGCCGAGGTCCCAGAATAGTTTCTGCAACAGTTTGTAACAGCTTATGTCCTAATCTATTTCGATAACCAAACAATGGTCAGTGTAGCTAGTCTTGTTGGTACATGATACAGACTGTTTGAGATAAATGAGTTATGATAAGCTGAAGTCTTTGTGTTAAATAACATCCACAGTGTTAGCTTTGTGAAGCAATTATTGAAAAATTGCGCAGTTGAGATAAGGAATATATTCAAACTGTGAGCGGAAGAGGTACTTTAAAACAGCGGGGAAATTGCGCTGTGCGTGTATACATATCATAAACGGTGCAGTTTAAATTCACTAATGTGCGAACGCGACAACACGTTACTGATAACACATCTATATATACGTGTAGATTACCAGCAAAAAAACCACCCGAAATAAAGTCG